AAATTCGCTATCTTTATCAGCTTTTCCCTGTGACAGCTTCGAACTGACCGGTCATACCGCTGCAAACACCAGTAAATCGAGAGACAACTTGTTGGACAGAGTGACGATTAGCACAACGAGGACGCAACTAATTCCTAAAGCACCATTAAGTTACACGAATGTAGCTCTTTTTTCGTTAGGGTAAGAGGAAAGAGATCTAAGACAGCGCAACATCTGGTGTCGCATTGAGGCGGTTGTGACAGCTTGCTCTTGTGATTACTTGGAGCATGCCCATCTCGCCATGCTCTGTGAATCTTTTACACATTGTTACTGCGTTCTATCTCCGGCATTGGTTTTTTGCAGGAGTACTTTCTAGAGTTCTAGAGTTAAACAATACATAAATTCTCTGTAATTGCGCTGCAGAGCAAGCGGAAGCTTTAGCCTAAAATTTCTGCAGGTCATGACTGGAGCTGGTCACGAGCTGCCACCATCACCAGCGCCCGATGCTATCACCGAGAACTGGCGAAGAGATTATTAAAAGAGTGGGGATTGAGGAACCAAAGGAATGGAGTGACCGCAGGCCAAGGAGAGAGTGGATGAACAGAGGAGGCTTCCTGCTGGAGTGGCGGTTGGGCAGGACAGTAATCCAGTCACCATGGGGCATTGTTTGCTCATTCTCTTCTGCTTCTTTGTCTTCTGCTGTGCCTCTTCTTGTTACAACCCAGGAAGCTGGAGGGTGGCATGGCTGTCGCGTCAGGAGCCAGAGCAGGGAACTAGGGCAAGTGACTTTCCTGTGGAAATACAGGCATTACGTCTACCTTCTGTCCACCGTGCCGCGAATCTTTTGTACGCTGACGTCGTGTTTCACTTCTTTACTCTTGGTAACTGCTCATGACACTCGGCTTTGATTTCACGGCATAATTTTTGTTACTGGTCATTTTGTATTCCATTATCAGAACATGACACTTAAATGTGAACCGCATACCGTCTAAGAAGTCTCCTCTTCCTGTGTTCCCAACATTTCTATTTCTTTCTGGAAAATTTAGGCACAGCTGCTGTTCATGCTTCTTAAACTGTCTTTTTCTCTTTGCTTTTTGCTCTGTACTGTGGACTTCCGCACAAAAGTTTACCTTGTCGAGGCTCAGAACAGGAAATGTTGAGAAGAGGAGTTATTATCCCACAAATGAGAGTGGAACTCATCTTAAATCGTCCCCCGACTATCAGCAAACTAAGCTCAAAGGGAACGTGTCAGCTCAGACTGTTCTGTTTGCTCAGGTGCTCGATTCACCCGTGGACAGTCGTGACCCTGACGTGATTTGTACATTGGACAAAGGAGAAGGAGTCCTCTTCCTCTGATACGGCTTGGCCGGGAGTTAACCCAAAAGGGTCGGGTAAAAGACATTTTCCCTTCTCAGGCTCTCTGTTGCGCATCCATACTCGTCATTGCGAGTCCCAGCGGTTCCCCTCCTCCGCTCCACCCACTCTACTGTTATCGTTCCCTCGGGGGCCCTCAGACTTTTAACGGTGCATCACTGTTCCTCACCATTGAGGCGGACTGTAGTTTTAAAAAAATATGAAACAAATTCCTGTGCACTACTGCACACATCTTATACTTGAATACACAATATGGCAACACCAAGTCGCGCGGGTATCTAGGCCTGTATACATTATTCTCGCTGTGTCCTACTACTGGTCTCCGCAGGAGAGGAGGGGCCGGTGCGCGGGACCCTATAACAAGTGCTGGACCGGCAAACGCCTGAGCGTTCACTCCTTCCTGTGGAGCGGGGAGCTGGGTCGCCCAGTCGGGTGGGAGGTCTCTGGCTGCGCTGTGACTGCCACGGCCTGACACCGACACAACGGGGCTCCCCGGGGTGTCTTTACAGCCCTGATCCACTCACGGGAACCCACCCCGCACCGCCGCTCTCTCAGCGCTCCTGGACCGCGTGAGGTTATCCCAACGTTACTGTTCGAGGGACAACATCATCGCCATCGCAGGAAACGACACAGGCTCCTCCGTGATAACTAGGCACTTTAAACCAGCCAAATTTTCTTTTTCGTGGTGTTCGCACCCAAGGACGAGATGTGATTTTGTTCCTTAAGGACCCTGAAGTGCAGGTTTGCATCCTTCTCCGGTCCTCTGGCACTGGTTTTTGTACACGCATAATCCATGGTGTTCCACCGTGTGCTCGTCCGGTGTTCTTCCCGTAACAGAACTGAAGGGGTGTCCCCAGCACATAACGCGTGGTGTGTGTAGCGAGCGGCACGGCCACAAAGATTGCACGGTTCCAATCACTGAACGAGGCAGTAAAGTTAAATCTGGGCCAACGGGCGGGGGTGGCGAGCCTTCGTGGCGCAGGGCTCCAGCGAGAGCGAGATCGTTGAGTCAGGAGTTCGGAGCAGCTGAGTCTCAAAGGGGCGATCTCTGGAGGATGTGTTTAACTACATAGAAAGTACAAGGTTTTAACTGTAATATGAAAATCGGTGCTGCTAATTATAGTCATTTTTATCAGTTCATTGAAGTAGGCTCGGCAGGGCTCCGATTGTTCAGCTCCCTGGTACTGCGTTTAATTACTCTGCGTGGTTTAAGGTCAGCAGAATGAAATTGCGCCTCTCTTCCAAGGGCGTCCAATTTGAACTCTGGCAAGAAACAGCGGCCCCCTGGTCCTGCGAACAGCCTGGCGAGGAGTGAAGAGCTTGCGAGGGGAGTGATGTCTTGGATGAGACACAAGGAACATTCCAACTGTGTCTAGATGAGTTTCCACACCGTTCTCTCCTGCGTTTCCTTCTGCGACATTTTTAGCGAGGTAGCAAGATGGACTTCTTTGCACGAAATGTTTCAAAAGTTGTGTTAATGGAGAAATTTCTCTGGGGGCTTCAGTTTCTATTTACCTTTTTGTGACATGGTTTAGAAAAAAAAATAACAAAAAAGCTCATTATCTTCCTCTCCCTCAGTCTGGCTGAAGGAGATAAGGCAGGTCCCCAGCGAGCCGGCAGGCGGCCGGATATCGCAGGCGAACCTTTAACAAATGCAGTTTTAACATGCAGCAACACTCAAATCTCAGTGCTGGGTGATAAGAATGATTGTATTCATTACACAGTTGAATACGGAACCATATTTCTGAAATAATTTTCTTGTCTAGAACTACACAGAATTCCGCTGAGTGGCACATCAAGTGAATTTCTATTAGGAGGTTCCAGCAGCTGTTCAGGTGGCAGAGAGACTTCATATTTAATTTCTCAGAAACAGGGTATGTTGAGAAAGGCATCAGATAACTGCTGGCTGCTGTTAACAGAGAAATCTCACTGGACAGAATTCATGTTTTCTACACTTGAAACCCAGAAGCCAATGAGCATTCGCTGGAACACTCTGGCAAAAGTGGACACCAAGGTTCCAGGAGTCCAGGTTGTATGATTCTGCCCTTGTCCTTTTGTTTGGGTACGGAGGCTGCATGCACTTCTCTACGGAGGCTGGCCCAAAAGCAGCTTGGGAAAAACCTTCAGGACGTTGTATGTGGTCTAGTGCTTGGGTGTAGAAAGGAATCAAGGGTTTTATAATAAGTTCTGCCGGTATGGGGAATTCTCCTTTTCTCATTGGCTTTTGTACAAAGATCTGACAAGCAATTTACTACACTAGAAAGTGTTATGAGACGATGGTGAGCATTCTGCAGAAAGAACTGTTTAGGGATAACCTCTGGTACTGGCTGTAGTGGCTAAATAGTGGTCCTAAACAGGTGGCCCACCCTATCTCCAGAACTGAAGATGTGCTCTCCTGGGACAAAAAGGTGTTGCAGATGGAATCGAGTTAAGGGTCTTCAGAGAAGCAGATCGTCTTGGGTTAACTTGTGGGCCCTAAATCCAAGGACACGCATCCTTTGTAAGAGATGCACAGAGAAGAGACGGGGAGAGGTGACAGTCACGTGGAGGTGTGGGGAGATGCTGCCCCCCCAAGCCAGGAACACCGGAAGCCACCAGAATTAGGAAAATGCAAGGAATGGTTCCTCCCTGCCTGGAGCCTCTGGAGGGAGTGCGGCCCCGCCGACACCTTAATTTCAGCTTCTGGTGGCCAGAACTGTGACAGAATAAATTCCTGTTATTTTAAGTCACCGATAATTTGTTAGTGTAGCCCCAGGAGACGAATGCAGGGTCTTATCTCTAAGCAGGTGTAAGCTTCTGTTCTGTGTTTGCCTGGGGCCTGAGTGCACGCAGCACATGAACACGGCGTCTCACCCTCCTCGCCACTCCAGAAACGTCTCCAAGGCCGGGCAGGTGAGTCTACACGTCCCATTAGAGAACCAGCCGATGTCAGGGCTGGACAGTGTTTGAGTCCCCTCCCAAAGGGAAGCTGTTGGACGAGCTGCCCCCCCAGACCGGAATCCCAGGCCCAGTCCTGCCACTCACGGGCGAGGGGCTCTTCTGAGAAGCCAGCGTGTCCTTCCTTTCAGGTTGCCCTCGCTGGGTCTAGAAAGCGCTCGTAACACGGCCCCAAATCCCCTTGCTCTGTGGCCTCACCTTGCTCCCTGCCTCCCAGCTGTCCAGCCACAGGGACTGTTCTGAGCACGCCCTGGCCTCTGCCAAGCATGCTTGGTGACCTGTCCC